TGTGCCTGTGTGTGCCTGTGCGTGTGTGTACCTGTGTGTATGTGTGTGTGCATGTGTGTGTACGTGCCTGTGTGTATATGTGTGTGTACCCGTATGTGCATATGTGTATGTGTACGCGTGTGTGTGCCTGTGTGTGTACGTGTGTGTACCTGTGTACATGCATGTGTGTGTTTCTTTGAGATATACTGAAATAACAGAAAAATTATGGACTTTGGTGTCTAACAGCAATTCCCAGAAGGCAGCCCCACCACTACCTTTAGGCAAGTCTGGCCACTCTCAAAGCTTCAGTTCTACTTCTACAAAGACAAAGGCCCAGGACTGTGAAAACCAAATGAGGAAACAGATACAAACGACCGGCTCTGTGCCCTTCAGGGAATTACTTAACCTCCCCGACCCCGAGTTTCCTTACGTACCAAATGGAGACAGTGGTGGGGAGCGGGTCGTCTGAGCCCACTTTACAGGACTCGTGTGGCCGAGACCATGTAAGCACAGTGCTTCGCACGGAGCCTGGCTCACGGCGTCCTAGGTAGAGGCTGCTCACCCTTCCTCGCGTGACACTCGGTGGGACGGGACCTCGGAGAGAACCGCACGGCGCTGCTCAGTCAGGAAGCTGGAGAGCGATACAGATGGCTAGTTATAAAGGCCCCAGTGTGCGGTGTTTTGTTTCAGGAACATGTAACTCAGGTACGATCTATAAATACTGAGTGTGCATTATGAGCGTCTGGACTCTGTTCCCATTTGCTGATGGACACGGAGGTGGGGTTCGCCCTCTTGGTTAACAGATCCTGGAATAATCAATGCTCAGGAGCTCCGGGGGTTTGCTCTCGGGCCATAATGATCTCAGGATGTGAGTCCATCTCCCAGGATAACCCGTCTTCACAGTGGGCTGGGGACAGGCCGGCAGCCCGGGGGACGGGCACCTGGGTGCAGACCTGGGAGAAGACAAGTGGCCCGTCCGCTGACGGGCTGACAGCTCCTGACCAGATGGCTCTGCTCCCCTTCCCTGCCCACCCCCACCCAAGGCCAGCCCAGCTTGCTCGGACTTGGGGCCTTCCCTATGTCTGGACAGAGACCAGCGGAAACCGAGGAGACGAAAATTCCCCAGAGGAGCTCGCCCACCAGACCAGATGTGCGCACACCCAGTCCTGGCCTCCATCGCGCCGCCTGACCAACAGCCCCAGACTCGGCGAGGAACACGGAGCAGGTGACACAGCCTGGCCGGAGGATGGGCCACAGGCGGGACAGCACGGAGCAGCCTTTCACGCTCCCCGAGAGCTCATGGACGGAGCGCTGGCCCCAGGAACAGTCTGAGTGTGAGTCCTGCCTCTTCCCACGTTGGCCAGAGCTGTGCCGCCACCACCTCCTTGGGTCCTCACGGTGACGCGGGTGAGACCCCGCCCAGCACGCGACGGTCAGGGCTAGGACACGGCCACGCCGGCGGCTCCTCCAGAGGGGCTCCTTTTACTTATTTATTTAATTTTGAAATCCTCACTCGAGGATGTTTTCCCATTTATCTTCAGATAGACTGCGAGGGAGAGAGAGAAGGAGAGAGAGAGAAACATCGATGTGAGAGACACACATCAACTAGTTGCTTCCCGCATGATCCCAACCAGGGCTGGGGATGCACCTGGAACTGAAGTACGTGCCCTTGGCCAGAATCGAGCCTGCGACTCATTGGTCCTTGGGCTGATGATCTAACCGCTGACTAACACCAGCCAGGGCAACCCGGGCTCCTTTTGAATCTTGACTCGGACTCACTTGAGCCGGGCAGACCCGCTCCAGCTCCGAGGGCCCTCCCACGCGCAGGCTGCCCTCACCGCCCACACCTGCCCGCCTCCGGTGTGTGCCTGCCGCTGGTGGCCAGTGTCGAGGGGAGTCTGGTTAAACAAGACGCTTTACACAAAGGGAGGTGATGGCGAGGGACAGGGACAGAGGCGAGGAGCCCAGAGCTGTCTTCATGTTTCAGCCACCGGGGCGGCTTTGCTCGCGAGGGAGAAGGTGGAGGTGGAGGTGGGTCACAGCCGAATCCCGGAAAGTACTCGGCGCCAGCTCCACGGCCCTTCCTGGACCTGAGTGACAGGCTCTCGGAAGGCAGCTCCACCGCTGGTGACGAATGATGCCCGGCTCAGGCCCCGGTTCGTTCATCCTTCCACGACCTGTGCTGGACCCCAGCCAAGCACGGCGGGGGGCACGCGAACTGCGGATGAGACGCTCTTCCCCGCACGGACTTTGCCATCTGCCGGGCGCGACATGTCACACTGGCGTCTCTCTGTCCCCAGGCAGGTGTGTGTCAGCCACTGGGACAGCCAGCCCTGTGAGCTTGGTTTCGGGGAATGCATCGGGAAATGCACGTGGGTCCGCAGCTCCCCACGGACCGCAGGCTGGGAGCCGAGGGAGACTCGCAGGGTCCACTCACAGGTGCCGTGGGGCCAAGGGCAAGCTCGTGACACCGTCTCCAGAACTGCACACGCATCTGCCTTATCTGGTCTTCACAGTAACGCGCATAAGCACGTGCTATCGTCACCCCCGTTGTACAGATGAGAAACTGAGGCCATGAGCGGGCACGAGGCCGGCCCAAGGTGGCCCGGCCAGCAGGGGTTGGAGCTCGGCCAGCAGCCTGGTCCGCACTCTTAATGGCTCTGTACACGCTCCCCAGGAGTGGGAACAGGCTCCCACAAAGACCACCTCTGGAAGGGGTACTTCCCGTGCGTCGGCCACGCACACAGCAAACTGCGGGGCAGACACGACCGGCATGTGCAGGCGCCGAGCCAGGCTGGGCAGGGCGTCCTGTCCGGTTCCCTAACCTTCCCCACACGCTCCCAGGCGCTCAGCCAGGGCCCGATACTCCCCTGGGCCGCACCCTCCGAGGTGCCGCGTGAGCGGGACATGCTTTCCACACAGGACCGTGGGCTCGGCCGCCTGGTCCACGGCCGGCGGGGAATTGGATGGCCTTCCGCCCGGGTGCCCCAGGGACAGATCGGCTTATCTTGCTGGGTTATTTTCACCCTCGGGAACTCACCACCATGGGACCACTGCTCCCTGCGGTGTCTGAGCGCACAGGACAAACCGAGGCGATGGAGCGACAGCCCCAGGGCAACCAGGCCCACTCGTCCGAAAGGGCAGTTTCAGGGTGCGGAGGAAGGTCACGGAGAACGCCAGTTGCTGAGCCTTCTCCCTTCAGATGCCTGGAGCTTCCTCCAGGACTCTGAGCTCTGCAGGGACGACCCCGTCACTCTGTCCCAGACCCTGGTCGTCCGGGCAACGTGCCAGGTGCTGCTACTGCCGATGGATGTGAGCAAGGGTAGGTCAAAGGGCAGGGGTCTCGGTTCGCACCTGGACTTGCATTGCTGCTCTCCTGTCGCTGAGCCCTGACGTCCTTCAGAACTTCCCACGCGTCCTGGGAACAGGGCGTCCAGGCTCGTGCGCATGGCCGACCGAGGGCCAAGGCCTGCCCTCAGCTCTCAGCGAGAAGCGCAGCGGTGGCTCGCAGAGCAGCAGAGGACGGATGGGGCGCACGCAGCTGTGAGTGTGCGGGTGCAGGCAGAGTGCGTGGACAGTGAGTACCTGAGACGCACAGGTGCTTCCGGCCAGAGACGTGAAATGTCTCACATCCATTTTGTCGGATCCACGAGATCATTTTCAGTCATTGAAAGTGAAAGCCAGTCAGTGACGGGTCCACGTCTGTGCGTCAGCAAGGCCTCCGCCACCTCCCAGCACAGGGCACGTCTTGCTTTATCTACGTGTTTCCTGGAAACTTATCTTTACTCAGGAAACAGGTTGCATTCCAGCAGCGGTTAGGCCGCGACACACGGGCAACTGCGCATCGGCGGGGCCACCATCAGTGGCCAGGTGGGCAGGAAGGGCCACGAACCAGCGGGGCCACGGTCAGTGGCCAGGTGGCAGGAAGGGCTGAGAGCCGTCGGTGACTGAAGACCTGCTCTGGAAGTGCTATGAGGGTCTCACTGTGGCCACGTGGAGAACACGCCCTCCTTGTCACAGGAAAATGCCAAGCCTCACGGCACCAGTGGGACTTGGGGCAGGAGAAGGAGAGAGTAGTCTGGGGACCTTGGAGACGGCCCGGAGGAAGAGCCGACCACACTGCGCAGAGCCCACGCTGCGTCAGGACGGTGCTGTGAAGATAAACAGGGCAGATTCCCTGACCAGGTCGAGCCGAGAAGGAAAAGCTCAGGGCTGCCGGGAGGGTCTGTGGACAGAGAGGAGGAGGAGTGAGCTTGGAAGAGTCAGACCTGAGCAAGTAGGACAGAAAAGGGACCTAAGGGTGACTCAGGAGTTCAGCTGGCCTGTGACAACTCTGTGGGAGTGTCTCCATGCGCCAGGACCCACAGTGGGCACCGGGGACAGAACTCGGACCGACACTCCCCTACCGTGTCAGAGCCTGCAGTCTGGACAAGTAGTGAAAACCTGGGGCGTTCCCAGCTTCCCCACCGGGTCACCCTGGACAGAGCCCTGTGCCCCCCTGGTTTTGCCTGTGGCACGTAGCCCAGTGACTGAGCACCCGGCATAGGCCCAGTGACTGAGCATCCTTGTGCCCGGTTTCCAAGGTCTCCTCTTGGGCAGAAGGAGGTTCGCTTGTAGTTCATCCACTTGCTGCATTTCTCTTTGTCTTCTTTTTACTTTACACACAAGTGAAATGAAGTATATTCTCTTTCATCTTAAACGGCACAAATAATAGCGCAGTCTTGCATTCGTGAAATTCTAGATGGCTCTGCAGCCATCATTTGTGCATCCCACCCCTACCGGTGTGTTCACTGAGGTCTCTCGGGGCAGCGTCCCCCAAATTTCCTTCAGTGGAAAGATTCTGAGTCACCTGAACTTTAATGGTGAGCACATGTCATTTCTACAAACACAACGGAGTCTTTTTTATTCGCGTGAAAATGGAATAAACCGCTAGGAATCTAGGCGTCGCGGCGGGCCTGGGTCCGGGGGGGTGCTGGGGGTCGCCGGCACAGGTGTACTGGCGGTGGTTCCCTTCCCTGCAGGTACCAGACGTGCTCCAACAACGGGCTGGTGGCCGGGTTCCAGAGCCGCTACTTCGAGTCGGTGCTGGATCGGGAGTGGCAGTTTTACTGCTGCCGCTACAGCAAGAGGTGCCCGTATTCCTGCTGGTGAGTGTGGGGCTCCACACAGCGCCCCCTGACCCTGGGGCTGGGGGGAAGCAAGGGGAAGGGGCGGTGCTCTGGTCTGGGTTTCTGCCTTTAGATAAAGCCTGAGCTGTCACAAATGAGCTTGAAAAGCTAGCATCGTGAGGGAGCGAATGAATGAACCAACCAGCCAACCCACCAACCCGCCAATGGAAAGGCGAGAATAATATTCACACTGCAAGGGACCTCCCAGTCATCCAGCCAATGCTCCGACACTTTGGCAGAAAGAGAAACAAACAGAACAATACAGCAAGGAAGTCACCTGCCCAGAGTCACCCAGCTATCGCCTGGGAGGGGGTGCCCTCTGGAGCTGGGGTCCACGAATCCATGAACCCCTGTCCCAGTGCGCTTCCCCCCCGTCCCACGAACTCCGCATCACATCTGAGGCTGCTGGACCTGACTGAGAACCTACTCGGTCCTGCAGACCTTCTTTGGAAGAAACCAACCCCATCGCTGCTCCGAGTGACAAACATTGTATATCATTATAGACACCCGACAAAGAGGCTAATGTTTCCTAGGTCAGTCTGTGATTCCCGTCTGGGAAGTTTTGTCCCTCGCTCCCTAGGCTGATGTCACATGTCTAGAACTAGCTGTCGTATTGGCTGGGAGAAGGGGTACGCATTTATTTTCCCTGATACTGACCCTGGGTGCTGACAACACAATCTGCCCCAGGGTCTTCAGTCTGCAAACAACCAGGCATGTGCGCCTTGGACGGGGCATTGGGTGTCAGCCCTGGAAGGCTGCCTCGCGCAGGGGCGCGACCTCCGCAGGGCGATGCCTGCAAGGGCCGCCTTAGGGGCTGCGCCTGTTCTCTGCCACCAGACAGCTTTGCTCCCAAGCGCCCAAGGCGGGCACAGTGTCTCCAAGAGCGGAGCATTTTTCTGGTAAATTCAGAGGTAATTCAGAGGTCAAAGGAGCTGACGTCAGTGGCTGGAGCAGAGACCTCCTCCGGTTCCCCAAGCTGCTCCCGCAAAGCAGACCTACTGCGGGGGCCAAGAGCAGGCACGGCGAGGGTGCGGGCTAGAACTGCAGATCAAGACCTACGACCGAGGATTTCCCGAGGGGTACAGTGGAAGGGCCAACAAGAACCTTGAGCTCCTGTCTCTGCCTTGACCCCTTCTTTCTCCCTTCCCTCCTTCCCCCTCCTCTCCCCACTGTGCCTGGGCCATCTCCAGAGTCACCGTACTCTCTAAGGGGTCTGGAGTCCGTTATGAAGATGACAACCACCTTTTCTGTTGTAAGAATCTGACGAAAGCTACAGACCTTGTCTTCAGGACACAGGAAATGCACTTCGGCCGTTCACACCGAAGCTGGCGGAGAATCTCAAAGCTGGGTCACAGTGGAAACCAGGGCTAGAAGGCCGTCGCGGTTGTGCTGAGCCCCGAGAGTGTCCTGACCACAAAGACGCTTTAGCCAAGGACAAGCCAGAGGCCCAGACCTGTTTGCAAAGTCAGGATGAAGGTTCTGAAGGCTGGGCCCCAGGGAGGGAGAGGGTGGAGCGGGGGCGGAAGAAGCTTGGCCTTCCGGAATCTTCCCTTCCCCGGCGCTGACAGGTTGGTGCTCCCACGGCGAGACCTGCTGCCCTTTGTCACCAGGCGCTAGAAGCCAGTTAGTATATAAAGAAAGTGTCCTGAAGGGTAAGAAACAAACCAGTACTCAGTCACTTAACCTATCACCAGGGGAGGAGGACTGCCCCTTCGTCAGGATCCAAGGGGACCCACCAGGGTTGGGGTACCCAGGATGGTCCAGAGGGGCGTGTTCAGGAAGGACAGGAGTAAAGGAGAAGCCGGTCCTGAGCACGGGGGCAGGGGGACAGTGGGAGACGAGGTGTAGGGCCTGCTCCCTGCCCTTGGTGGACGTCTGCCTGTCTCAGCACTTACTACACACACTGGACTGCGGGTGTGAGTCCCTGTCCCCACCTGGGGGCATCAGGAGGACACAGGGGACTTGCTGATTGATCTCTGCATCCCCAGCACCTAACGTAGTGCCTAGAACATAGTGTCTGCTAAGTGATGCCTGAACCAACCATTCTGGAGGTGGCGAGTCTCCGAAATATATAATTTACTTACTTTAGAAGTTGTTTTTTAAGTCTGCCTGTGCCCTCCCACCGTAGCCCCAGAAAGTAAGCTCCGCACGAGCAGAGGTCTTTGCACGGAGGCGCCGAGCTCCCCGAAAACGCAGGCACAGAGCAGGCTCAACAGCATCTGCGGACGAAGGAGCGAGCAGCTCGGCCTACGCCCCAGTTCTGCTGTGAGGGCTCAGTGAGGTCATGTATGCCTGGGGTCGCCCCTGGCTCAGGCCACACCCTCCACCCTCCCAGCTGCTGCAGAGCGGTCTCACTTCTAACCGGGCTTTCAGGGTGGTCTCTGCCCAAGGTCCCTGCAGTCGGGGTCCGACGGCCTTGCAGGAAGCAGCGCCGGTGCCTGGAGCTGGTTTTCTGGGGGACGAGAAGCTGTGCCCTTGGACGGGTGCTGGAGTGTCCTGGTGCTCCTCCCGGGCAGAGGGGGCGCTGGGGAGCTGCACAGCTCATCCCGCGAGGCGTGAGGCCTGTGCCGACACCGATGGGCGGGCCAGCCCTGCCTGCTGGTCCCTGTGTCACTGGCTGGCCACTTGGCTCCTGGCCAAGGAGAACAACACAAGGAGTGGACACAGGGCCCAGGGCGATGAGGCAGGCAAGAAGAGGGGGCACACGGTTTTAGAGGAGCTGTGGAGCAGCAGAGGGGGGTGCATGGAGGTGAGGGCAGGATAAAGGGGCGTGTCCACACCTTCTCCGAGTCCCCACAATCCGTGGGTTCTGTGATTCTGTGTCATCGCCCTAAGCGTCGGTGCCTGGAGCTTCTCCTGTTTATTTGGACCCTGGAAACTGAAAGGCTCCCAAGTCTCGTTGTCTCAAAATTCCACTGATTTCCTAAGGTGCCCCAAGCTTCCAGGGTCACCTGGGGGCTGGATCCCGTCGTACCTGAGAAATGACTCGAGTTCCCCGGCGCGCAGCCCACCAAGCAGATGCTGAGAACGCGTGTGGCAGCAGGTCCCGGGCTTGGACAGACACGAGCAGCGTCCCCAAGCCGCTGGAGCCTTCCGGGTCCCTGGCGGCAAAACCGACCCCTCCTCTGGTCTGCAATGTCTGCCCACCCGCACCCGCCCCTCCTACCCTTGGTCACCCTTCCCCACCGCTCAGACCTGTCACTGATGACCAAGAGCCAAAGGACAGGAGGAGAGAGGGGAGAATCACCCAGACAGGCATGGCAAGCCAACACTGAAGCCATCTCCCCACGAAAGCCTGCACTCGGCTGCTTCTATTTCGGGTTGCGCGGCGTCAGGGCTGAACGCTACCATGGTGCCCGAAGAAGACGGTACTTTTTCAAGGGGACGACGTGGAGAAGCAGCGGCAGGCGGTGGCAGCATGACGATGCGCATGCTTCACTGTCCCCATTGCGGTGTCTAGACTCTTCAGCGGCACCTGCAAGTTGCCCGAGTCAGGCCATTATCCACTTTCTAATTGAACGAAGCCCCTGGGGCATGAATTAGGTCTCATTCCTGCAGCATCTCAGCATATTTCCCGGCACCAAGGAGCCCTTCATCAGTGTCTGGAGTGGGTACCCGGCTGTGGCCGGCGCCTAGGAACAGTAACCATGGTGAACCTGACACTGCTATGAGGCTGCTTTGTCCTGAAAGGGCTTCTTTCACATCCACTACTGGTTTCGCTTCTCCGAAGTGCCCTCCTGAGTGACACTGTTTCCCCACACTGGCCACCGTGAAACTGCCCGTACCCTCCCGTCTGAGACCTTCCCTCCGTCCCTCCACTAGCTCCGTGACCTCCCAGGAGCTGGACAGGGTGGGTGGACGTTTTTCTCTTCCCACTGTGAAGGCCGTTCCGCAGCCCGGAGCCCACACTGTTGGGAGCAGCTAGGTGAGTGTCGATTGTCTGCACTGGGAAGCACTGGGGGGTCAGAAATAGCCCCACTTGTGGCGGGGGTGGGGGACCAGTCGTCCCACCAGCGCCCAGAGGACAGGGATCTGTCTGCTGGGCACCGAGTGCAGTTCTCCCTTCGGTCGGTGCCGCTTCTCCAGGTGTGACAGCACCCCTGCACTCCGGCGCGGGGGCGACGTCCTGACAGAGCGGACACCCCGTCACCGGCAGCCTCACCGACGGCACACGCGTCAGGTTGCACGCAGGACTTGTGCAGGAGAGCTCGCATTCCTAGGCCCGCCGTCTGCAAACCACAAACGCACGGGGCTGAGGGCGCCACACGCTTCGGAGACCGCGTGTGCCGCTGCCAGGGTCCCGGAGGGCCTGCGAGGCCGTCCAGGCAGGGCCCGGGCAGGAGCTGACGGCGCGGCGCTGAGCATCGAGCTTCCTTCCTGAAGGCTCCTCCTCGGACCCGGGGCCTTTCGGTGGCTTCATGCGATGCCATGTTGTGACCCAAAAAGGAATGTCATCCCTCAGAGTCAACGCGGACGACCTCTCGTTTGCCCTTCCACCGCGAGACCCTCTGACTCTCGAAGCCACATTTTCCGCCGCCCAGCTGCTCGGTCCCTTATGCTCGAGTCACCAGCCAGAGAGGGGGTTTCGGAATTCCTGGGTAGCTCCAGTTAACAAGGACAACGAAATCAGAGCGTTCTTCTTCCCCCTATGCCCCAAAGCCCGGGGTCAAGGCTGATCTTTGCCTCCCACTCCACTGCTCAGGTTTTGGCACGAGACAGCGTTTGCATGGCCTTCCCTGTGAAACCCCGGCAGGGACAGCAATGACCCGCGAGGGCCTTCGCGGCGGCCTGTGCCCCTCCCAGCTCAGTGCCTGGTGTAGCAGCTCCCAGGGGCCCCGAGGAGGGTAGCTGCTACGCGGGGTCCTCTGAACAGGCTGGAGCTGCTGTTACAGAGCTGAGCCCACACCTCGAGAGAACAGGACGGGGCGCTGCATTGAAAGCAGTTTGCATGGGGTGGGGTGCTGAGAGCCCTCCAGACCACGGCGGCCTGCACTGCATGACGCACAGGGCACTCGTCTTGGCGGACGGTGGGGGGACAGCCCCTCTGAGCTCTAGTGAAATCAGTCGTACCTTTCATCGTTGGAGTGGCTGCCGCATTTGTGATTTACAGATGGACTGTTGTCTGCCGACCAGTGATGCCCCTTCCCTGTGCTCACTTAGCAAAGCAGAAATTTCAGAGATGTGGCTGGTTCTCCAGTGAGTGTTGTCTAACCCGAGGCCAGGCCCTACCAGCTACTCGGAACCAAGTAAACCTTGCAGTTACAGACCAAATCTGTTCTTCATGCTATCGTTTCCCTTGGTCCTGTCGGATCCCCTTACCGGATTCCGGAAGCAATCCTTCACCCTACCATTCATTAATGCACGGCACCAGCAGTGAGTGCATATAAAACGTGTGCAATGCATAGACTCACGTACAATCCAGTCCTTATAAAGAGGAGGACAATAACTGTGTTTATTGAGCATCTACCCTGTGCTCATGTTAGCTCATTCACTTCCCACACCCAGAAAGTGCGACATTGTTACATAGTATCGTATATAATAATACAAAGTTCCAAACTCAAGTCGGACAGGTCTGGCTGCCTCCAAAGCCATGCTCTTCCCAGAGCACTAAGCTGTCTCAACGTCCATGAGGAAGTAAGACCAACCTAGAGGAAATGGTAGGTAACAACACAGTCAGCATCTCACGGTGCAGAGAGGAGAGTGCTTATTTTAGCAGGAGGGGAGATGTTGGAGGTGGAGTTGTCCCCGCCAAGGGGCAGAACCAGGGCGACCAAGATGGGATATGACTGATGAAAGCCAACCCGAGTCGAAACAACTGTCCTTGCTGACCGGCCCTGGCCTTGGACGGTGAGCTAGATAGTCCGTGCCAAGACAGCAATTTGGAAAATACTTGGGGACTTTCCTCTTCTAATTTAAGCCACAGATAACTCTGGAACTATGTTCCCTGTGTTGTGATACATAGTTGAGCTTTTTGAAATACAAATCTCCAAAAGGCACAGGAGGAAGACATGCACGTAGAGCCTCTCTCGTGGCCCCTGGGTGCAGGGTCTCCCCACAGAGAAGGGCACTTCGGTGACTGCAGAGGCACTGGCCACTCAGCCCACCTGGCAGACTTCCCAGCTCTTTGGCAAACTCGCTGGCTGTCCCTTTGAGGGTGCTTTCCTGCGTGCATAACTGCTTGGGGTATGTGTCCCATCTGTGCGAAATTAATTCAGATAGACCCCGATGCAGCCCCTGCTGGGGATGCGGGGCCATGGGGAGGTCAGTCTAACCCGAAGCCTTCGCGTGCCCGTGGCTTACCTGCAGGAGCAGTTCATAGGGGGCTGCTTTGTTAGGAAACCTCTCGATGAATTACCTGTCAGAAAGGAGCATCCTCTCTTTAGCTGGATGGAGACTGTGGGCCAACCCGAACACCTCAGTTCCACAGATGCCGAATGTCCGCTCCGTGCCCAGCACTGAGCTGGATCACAAAGGTGTGCATGTTACACCTTTCCTAGCTGCCTCCAGGAGCTGGTCGTATTGCTCATCATCATCGAAGCAGGTGCTACACAGGGGAGGCCTCCCAGACACCCCGTCCAGTCGAGCAGGGCCCCTTGGTCTGGTCACTACCAAAAACAAAGTAACAGAGTTGCTCATTAAAGAAAGCATTGGATAATATTTTTTTTTCCCTTTTGAAACTTAAAAAGTCATGATTTTTTTTTAATGCAAGACTCTCTTTCCCCCTTTATTCCAAATGTATTTAACTATCCAAGTAATCTGAAGGCAGATCAGTAAAAAAATAAAAATCTAGCTTGATTAGTTCAAAGAGTTTTGGATTTAGCCTAACGCAGTACAGAAGCAGTCCGCCCTCACGCAGATGAGAACCCTGGCCATTAGCTTTGATACGTTGTATCCAAAGGGGCTTGAAACGTTCTGGGAGATATTTTGTGTTCCTGGGAAGTGAGGAAAACACCTCCCATCCCATTTCTTTTGATCCTAATTTGCATTGGTCACATTCTCAACACATTCCCATTTCTTTGGGCAAATGTTAGTCTAGCACTTGTTAGAATCTCATGGGAGCACAAACCAGTGGGGCCCAAGTGAGGCCCTGTTAGGTCCCCTGAGGGGATGTTGAACATTTTAATTAGGAAGAGGAAGTCCCTGTCCTGGATCTCTGTAGGGGCACCAAATCGATTTCTGAATGAAACACATTAAGCACCGACTTCCTGGATGAACACATGAAGCAGACACACTCGTGACCCACACTGAGTTGGGCTGGGCATCCGGACAGAGCACAGCTATGTTCCGAGAGGAGAAGACTCAGAGAACAAGGACAGCAGCACAGTGTGGGGGCGCAGTGACCGAACCGAGAGGGTGGGTGGTAGGCTCTGCCTCCAGCTGACCTTGAGCTCAAGGTCATTACCGTGGGTCCTGCTGCATCTGTGCCCTGAGATCCTCCCAGCAGACCTTCCAGCTCATCAATCAATCTTGTCAAGATGTCAGGACCGCCCTGCAATGCGAAGTCTACCCAGGGAAGAACTTTCTGTCATCAACATAAATGACCTGGGGAACCTAAGCCAGATGAAATACTGACACTCACTAACTAGGTGTACCCCACGCAGCCTTTGGGGGTGCAGATAAGCCTTCGGGGGACCCATTTCATACTGGAAGAACTCTCTGGGTCCCGAAGATCCCCAGTGGTGAAAGCCTTGTGAGGACTAGATCCCAGATGTACCCCCGGGTGGACCACCGCAAACCTACTCATGGCGAGGCCGGCACTGACTTGATCCTGGAGTCTGAAGGAGAAGAAACAATGTTGCTCATATTCAACCCCTTCCAGGGGCCAGTACATCAAGCCTATTTGTATTTGTTCCCATGACCAGCCTAGCAGGGAGCTCTCCTTCTCCTCTGGACCAGGAAGCTGAGATTAAGTGACCCTCCCAGTGCTATTTACTTACTCAGTGGGCTCTTACGATGCACCAGGAAGTAGTTTGGTGCTGGAGAATCAGCGGTGGCCAAGACCAACGCCACCCCCGTGGAGCTCACATTTGCTTTAATATTTTTCAAGTGCTTTTTTGGATCATGACTCACAGGGAAAAATATAGATTAAACGACCACACAATACACACGTCATATAGACACACACACCCACACACGTTTGAAACACTGTTCTTACACACACCCAATAACTTCTCCTTCGGGTGTGCAATGTATTTGCTGATGTTTCCTACTCTACTTCTCCTTTTAGAAAGCTCCTTTGGTAATAACCAATTAAATTGGTTTCATGATCCTCTGATGAGTCACTATCCAGATTGAAAATATGGTTCTTGTGGACTTGAATGGAATAAACGAATATTGATATTAAAATTTCTTCAAGGCCTGGGGAGTTATTGGCATCATTTTCAGAGTATCGTTTCATGGCAAGAAGACGGAGGAGGAAACATGGAAGTTGTTCCTCTTTTTATTTATTATGATTATTATAAATATCCTCACCCGAGCATATTTTTTTATTTATCTTTAGATAGAGTGAGAGGGAAGGAGGGGGAGAGAAAAACATCGATGTGAGAGAGATACATCAGCTGGCTGCCTCCTGCACGACCCCAACCAGGGCCGGCAACGAACCGCACCAAGGTACGTGCCCTTGACCAGAATCGAACCCGTGACTCATTGGTCCGCAGGCTGATGCTCTACCGCTGAGCCAAACCGGCCAGGGCTCTCCTTTCTTCAGCCCGAGATGGTTTGTTAGCAGCCATCTGACCCCAGCTGGGTCTCCCCCAGAGTTCAGATACCACCCTCCTTCATAGCATGGTTCCCGACTGTCGGCCACAGTTCAAGAGTGAGGTTTAGCTTCTCCTCTGACCTTTTGTCCTTCCCACGCAGGATGACGACGGACTACCCCGGCCACTACGGGGAGGATATGGACATGATCTCCTACGATTACGATTACTACATGCGAGGCGCAACCACCACTTTCTCGGCGGTGCAGAGGTGAGCCTTCCCCTGGCCAGGGTCCGAGGGGCCAGGCACGAGCCCTGTGCGTGGACCAGGTCTGCGGGAATTCCCATCTGCAGTTCCCACTACTGTAGTTGGGGCTGGGACGAGCGGCAACACTGACCAGACATTGGGACACGGTGAGAACTCAACTGTTCTCAGAAACTCGTCGCACGGAGCTCTTCCCCTTGGGGGTGCGGATGGATCTAGCCTGCTGGGGAGCGGGAAGCCCAGGGTGTTCTCAGCTCTTCCCTCCACTGAATTTCAGAAAGCACTTTTTCTTGCCCAACGCCAGGAGGAGAGGGCAACAATGATGGAAGGGGTGCCCACTGGCCCCTCGCAGAGCTGCGTCTCCATACGGCCCACTGTGGCTTGTGGGAGGGACACAGAGGGGAGGGGGCTGGAGAGAAGAAACGCCAACTTACCAACTATATTTAGAAACGAAAGAGGAAAATTCTAATAACCTAAAAAAATCACTAACTTTCTGCATCCTGTCTCTCTCGGTCAGCTCCCCCATCCTACCCTAAATGCATCAAAACAATACAGTAAGACGAAAGCAAGAGTTCTTCTCCCTCCTAATGTGGAGGGGGTGGGGTGAGTTCAGGTGTTAGAAGATTGGTTTGGTCCACTCCAGGCAGGTGAGAACCACTCTCCCCGGCGAATGAGTCCCTGAAGCATCGCCTGGGCCTGTTTTGTAAACAGAACGAAACTCACGTTGACTCACGACGTTACGGATGACGATGCATTCGAGGGCGACTGATCTTTCGTGTCTATATTTGTTTTTCAATGAAACGACACCTCACCTGACTAGAGTTCACTTCCTTCATGAGGCCCAGGATGAAAACAAACAAACAAAAACAAACCACATCGATCCGCTCTGATGAGGCCTCCGGAACCAACGCCTTCTGTTTACTCCAGGAGGACCCCCAGGTCTCACTCCTCCGTCATTTTTATTTTAGATACATTTTAAACTAGTTTAGGTACCTGTTTTCTAGAAGCAGTAAATTGAAAAATGAACAGGGACGATAGTCCTCAGCCGGGTGACATTGGACAGGCTGTGCAGCCCCCGGGGACACCAGGGAGCTGGGAGCTGGGCATTGTTAAGGGCACCTCCAAGTCCCCCAGAAAACCGCTCTGGTCCCTGTTTCAGAAGGCGGGGAATTTTCAGTCAAGGAGGGCTACCACGTAAAGTCCCTCAATATAAGTGTGTGTTGGCAGGTAACACGTCCACTTCCTCCACACCGCGCTGTGCAGGGTTGGGCGAGCCTGTGGTCTCGCACACCCCGCCCGCCCTCTGGGCAAACAGGCGCCTCAGTTCCTGCTGGGCAGGGTGGCAGGTCCCTCGCCGGTGCTTTCCCCTCACCCCCTTCCCTGGAGCCTGTTTCCCGAAGGGGTGCACGGAGGGTAAGGACCGAGTAGAGGGAGAACACATGAGCGCACCATCGCCCAGTTCCGAGAAGATCGCGACCATGAAAGGGGCGGCGTTACGTACAGGGCAGTGGGGAGCCGACCCCGGGGCCTCCACACAGCCGGTACCCCAGTGAGTCCCCTTCCGGGCCACCTGAACTGGGGAGGAAATGTCAGGACCCCTGACCTCACAGGGGACCCCTGTCGGTTTCCTCGGTTTCCCAGACGGGCCCTGGGACAGTGGAGGGGGATCAGCGTCCCATTCAGTCCCTAGCTCCTCCCAGGGGGGCCCTTCCCCGGGCAGGACCTCTTCCCCGGGGCATGGGGCCCTACCTCACTCCTGCCTCCGCCTCCCCCACAGGGACCGCCAGTGGAAGTTCATCATGTGCCGCATGACCGACTACGACTGTGAATTCGCGAACGTTTAGAGCCGCCGCAGCCAGATGCGGGCGAAGGGAGGGGCCGGCGGGAGGGTGCCCCCCACGGTAGTCAGCTGGACCCTGCGTTCCCGCCCGCCCGCCTCTCCCTGAGCTGGTCAGCAGCCGCCACGCCAGCTTTCTAAGCCTTTCCGACGAGCATCACACTTATAATCAAAGCCACAATGAAACCACGATCTCCTCTCCACACCGCTTCGCAGGACTGACGAGGGCTGACCCGCGGCCGCGTGTGCAGTGCGCGTGCCCACAGCCTGGACAGCAGCCGGGCGCACTGCCGCCGAGCCGTCGGGGCACAGGTTGGGGGGAGCGGAGCCCAGGGCAGACCGGGAGGTGGCCCGGAGGGTCCTCTGCGGCTGGAAGCCGGGGTCCTCGCCCAGGGCACACACCCCCCTTGAGGGGACGCGCTGGCCTGGAAGTCCAGTGCCTATGTCCAGGGCGAGGAGACTGGGCAGAGAACTGGAAGCGGGAGGGGCTGGGCTGGGGGGAAAGGCAGGTCAGAGAGTCTCCCGGGTTGGAAGGAGGCTGTGGGCGCAGCCGGGCATGCAAGGCGTGCAGGAGTCTGACTGCATCCTGTCCAGTGAGCCGGGAGCGGGAAGAAAAGCCAGAGGCGTGGAGTCACGTTAGGACTGGGCCCCCTCGGGGGCAGGCGCGTGGCAGGCTGCTTTGGGAAGTGGGAGCGGGTTTGAGTCGCTGGCCCCTGGAGGCACGGCCAGCTCCCCTGGCCAGCTCCCCTGGGTTGGTCCTGGCTCTCTAGATGGGAGAGGCTGCCCTGGGGGTCCACCCCCTCCTGCGTGCTGTTTACGGGTGTCTTTGACACAGGGGACACTCTCTCCCCTCCTGTGCTGTGTCTGTGCCCACCCCTTTGTACTCTCTTCATTATAAAAGGAATAAATATATGAATGTTCACTGTGCTGCGGCCGGAAAGGTCAGCTTTTGCTCTCTGTGCCTCCCCTTTCGGGTCACTCATCCACCCTTCAGAAGACAGCCGCGTTGGGGCTGCGCCCAGCACCCGGAAACGCCGAGGACGTCGACAGGGGTTTTCATAGACCACTGGACAAGGGTGGGACCACGTTTCTCTGCCTCCGAAGCTAGTCCGACTTGTCCTTGGCCCACCTCCCATCAACACATCACAGGCAGCCCTGGCCGGGTGGCTCAGTTGGTTGGAGCGTCGTCCCAGACACCAAAAGTGTTCAGGTTGGGTCCCCAGTCAAGCACATGTGGGAAGCCACTGATCGATGTTCCTCCCCGCCCCCAACTCTCAAAGTCAATAAAAACATATCCCTGGGTGACGATAAAGAATCTTTAAAAAGACTGTGTCACATGCATTTGTAACCACCGGGCTTCAACCACAGGCCCGTGTTTCCTTCGTACACAGTCTGCCTTTTGTCTTCCCGTCTGTCTGCCCTGCCCCCTCTCTCCCATAGACCCAGGCGGGCAGGTGGCCAGGCAAAGCCACAGGGACCATCCACCAGGTCGCGCACCCATCTAGGTGGCCGAGAAGGTGGGTCTCGGCCAGCGGGGCTGCACTTCCCGGGGACACCCTGGCACTGTGAGGGGAAGGCAGTTAGGGGTGCCCTCCTCTGCCTGGACTCCGAGGCCCTCTCGTACTAGGGGTGCTCACTTCCTCATTTCACTGTCTGCACCCCTCTCGCTTCCCTTTACTTTTCACAAAGGAGCTGTTAGTGTTTCCGCCACCGCAGCCCTGGGGCCGGATGGCCGCCAGGAAACGGCCTCCGCTGGGTGTGTGCCGTGAGCACCGCTGGAAGGGGACAGGCAGGGCCGCGGCTGCTTGGCAGCCACGATGTGAACACGAGGCGGGGCCGGAAGCTGAGGATCACTCCGGGAGACAGCCAGAAAGCAAGTTCAGGGGGGGGAGGATAAAGCCATCCAGCAAGTGCCTATGCCAAGGAGAACAAATTGCGAGGTTTTACTAACAGGAAAACTCTTCTTTGCATGTCGACCAAGGACAATGACAGCGAAGACGTTATCAACTTGGTTAGCCCTCGGTTAGCGCCTGAATGATTTGCACTCCTGTCGTGTGTGAATCAGGGAGAACTGCATGTCGGAGGAGGGCTGACGCCCGGGTTGTCTGACTGCAGACCCCCTCTCCGTGTTTTCATCACTCCGTCCTTCCACTCACTGGCTCCACCGCCTGGAAAAGCCACCTCCTCATTCCACAGGGACGTTTATCGAGGGAGTCATTGGTTCTTGCGATTCTGCAGGTCTGCGGACTCACTCGTGTGGCCCAAATGACGTATAAAGGGCTTTGCTGAGGCATTTTCTCCCAGAGGACCAGCAGGGGTGAGCTCAGAGTGGGTGGCTGTGTGATGTCAGACAGATGCCCAGCCGCGGCTTCCTCCTCCGCCTGGTGGGGACAGGAGTCCCCTCCCGAGGTGGCCGTCACGGCAGGTGGGGGAAGAGACGCGTTCCCGCCGCCCAGGGTCCACCGTCTCAAAGGCGGTCGTGAGAAGACGGATAACGAAGACACAGGTCCTGAAGAAGCCGAGTCCACACTTCGCCCTGAAGGACAGGCCTTCCCCCACCCCCACCCCCATGCCAGGGCCCGGGAAGTCCCCCTTCCACCCTGGCTCCTCAACCGCACGTGACAGTCGCTTTCCTTTTCTGTTCCCTTAGATTGAACCAGTGGTTCTCAACCCTCCTAATGCTGTGACCGTTTAATACAGCTCATGTTGTGGTGACCCCCAACCATAAAATTATTTTTGTTGCTACTTCATCACTGTAATTGTGCTACTGTTACGTCTTAGACGACCCCTGTGATAGGGTCGTTCGACCCCCCCAAGGGGTCGTGACCCACAGGTTGAGAAGCGTATTTTCACAAAAGCATTAACAAATTTACTAGCAATAACAAAAACATCCTAAGTGTAGATGTTTCCTCTTTCCACCGCGTTCTCTCGTTCCGTGCAGTCAGGGGTTGCCCGGCCTCTCGCTGGTCCTCCACCTGGCTCCCCGCCTTCCCATCCTCCTAGGTTCTTGTCCCCTATTCACGAGGGACAAAGCAGCCCAAACAGGGCCCTAGAATCGAGGGCGCCCACTCTCCTCACCAAGCTTCAATCCATTTGAATGTAGCCACTTCTGTTTAGTTCTGTTGAGCTAAACCACTCTGTTCAGAAGCGGTACCGGAGCCTGGTTACCATATTGGGGTCCAGAGTCAGAGAGGTGTGGCAAATCCTTTGCAAAACAGCTCCGGGGCCTCCCATTACCTGGTGGTTTACTCCTTTGTAAAGCAAGGATAAGAAAACAACCTCTGCCCTGGCCAGTTTGGCTCAGCGGTTAGAGCGTCGGCCTGCGGTCCGGAGAGACCCGGGTTCGGTTCCCGCTAAGGGCACATACTTCGGTTGCAGTTTGTCCCCGGCCCTGGTTGGTCGTGCGGGTGGCAGCCACTCGATGTGTCCCTTCACGTTGATGTTTCTCTCTCTCTCCCTTCCTCTCCCTCCCACTCTATCTGTACAAAAAACGGAAAAATATCCTCGGGTGAGGATAAAAAAAAAAAAAAAGAAAAGAAAAAAAAAAGAAAACAACCTCTCTCAGAAGTCCTTGGAAAGAACAATCATGCATTCACACACCGCTCAGATTTCCACAGGACTTACCACTGTCCCCAGAACGAAATCTCCACTTTATCCTGAACACTGGGAACCAGGCAGCCACCCCCCTTCCTGCAAACCCCGTGCCGGAGCCGCCGCTGCGCTGGATGGTCACCGCCCGTGACTCCCTCCTCCGGGGCGCGCCTGTCCCCAGCAGCCGGTTCTCGCTGCGTGACGCGTGTGTGTGGCGGAGGACAGTGCTGACCAGATTTCCCCGACACGGCGGTCGTGACACTCTCCGGACTGCAGCGTTGCTGTTCGTTATTTTGTTCTTCTTTATACTTTTCTCCCTTCCCCACCTTTTAAAAACAGTTACCTTTGCCTGTGTTTATCCTCTAAATGGAAACATAATTTCAAGCTTATGGAACAAAGTCACCAGCTGCTGAGAGAGCGGTTTCGCCCTGGGACACGTTCTGGCTGCAAGGTGGGCGCATGGTCGCTTCGTGGAAGGAGAGGTGCGGTCCTCCCAGGGCCTCGTTCACTGGCCGCCTGCGGGGGGGGGGGGGCTGCGATGGAACCCGCAGCCCTGCCGCCCGTCCCGCTCTCCTCCCTGGAGACAGATGTGCACGCTGCCTCGGGCCAGTGAGAAGGAGCAGCTCCGACCTCCCCCTCCAGCCACGCAGGTCCCACTGGTGCTCAGGCCAGGCGGGGGGCCAGCTTCCTCGGGAACCTTCTGCGTCTCTAAAGCTGGTCCGGCGTCCTTCCCACGTCCCTTCGAGACTCCGTGTGCGTTTTCGCTCTCCTAGGAGTGGGGGTCCCGGCTCTCCATTCACTGGTGGAGTTCTAGAGTCTAGCAAGGTGTTAGTGGGCTCCCAAAACATGTTTAAAAATTAATGGTGGTTTCTCATTGGTTTTCAGTTTCTATTGGGAAGACCTATCAGAATTCGAAGCGATTAATAATGGAAAAAAGCGTGTAACAGCACTTTGAAAATTGTGAAGTCCTGTTAAGAGGAATGGTATCGTGATGAGGCTGTGGTTTTGATGGGGGTCAATGTCCTCTTCTCCTCTCTTTCTCTAGCCTCATTGGGTAGGTAATCATTCATTTCAGCCTATTAAGAGCTGCTCACTAAGGAAGGAAGGAGGCAAGGAAGGAAGGGAGGGAGGAAGGAGAGAGGGAGGGAGGGAGGGAGGGAGGGAGGGAGGGAGGGAGGGAGGGAGGAAGGAAGGAAGGAAGGAAGGAAGGAAGGAAGGAAGGAAGGAAGGAAGGAAGGAAACACACCCATCAAGTCACAGTTGTCTCTTACATGTTCAGAAAGTGTACATCTCCATACTAGGTACCTGACGCTAATTCTGGTGTTTCTATGGCCTTGGAGCTGTAGTGAAATCAGCATCTGAACAGCCAGCCCAGGTCCAGGACTTCCTTGGTGGGCATGGGATGAGCCCTGTCAGCTAGCCCTGAAGAGACTGGGGGGCCAGGGGCCAAGGGGCTCAGGTTGGTAAACTCTTCATACTAGCCATGTGGCGACTGTCCCATCTACGCAGAGGAGAGGGCAGCCCGAGCTCAGGGGCAGGGCTGCTTATAGCGTTGTCTTCGCCCCCGTTAAGGAACTGGGCTAAGGGTCTGCGGGAAGCAAGCACGTACAGAAGCGGGTATCTGCGGTCAGCCGTTATGCCCGAGGGACCAAGCAGTTTCGGTTTGTACACAAGGCAATGGTTATCTATACAGTGCAGTGGTTATCTATCGACTCTCGCAGCTAGTTCTTGCCATTCTCTTAAAACCAGGGGGTAAGGTCTGCCTAACGGAAAACGTTTCAGTACATTCACATAGCACGTGTTTGTCCTTTGCAGGGGTCCGGGGCGGTGCTCTTGGTTGCTACCCCTGCACAGCAAATGCTCCCGGAGAAACGAAGGCAGAGCGCTTAGGCACACCCTGCACTCATTACGCTCCGGGAAGGGGAAGGCGGACTTTCCGGCCCGCATTTCCCCGTCACACCCACTAAGAGCTTGCCTGTGGGATGAGCTGGGGACCAGCTGTGGCGAAGCAGCAAGGCCCGTGTGGAGCCGGGCGCCCCTGCACAGCTGCCTGGCCGAGCTTCGCGGGTCCAGCCTCTTCCCGCTCTGCGGCGGTGGACCAGCCGCCCCGGCACGGCCCTGGGCCTCATTTGTTGGCAGACTCATAAGTGAGCTCACTAGGCATGACTCCCCAGAAAAATATCCTTGGGATGCACACATGCTCTGAGTCACACCTACCTGTCCCTTCTGGGGCGGTTCAGTGTTCTCTATGTGCGCGGTGAGCCCCGAGAAATCTCCCGGGGGTCTCAGAGGAGCAGGGAACAA